AAAGTTATATGACTAAAATTTTGTTCAATTAATCAATGTTAAGGCATTGTATGTACTAAGAGAATAAAAAATGTATTGCTTTATTCCTTCAAGGAGCCTATAATTGAATAGGGAATATAGATATATCAAACTATACATTGTGATTTTGTGATAGAATTATTAAGCATTGTGGGAGCAAAGGAGAGAGCAGTTAATTCTGATGGATCATTGAATTAGCCTTTGAGGAATAAGAGTTTTCTAGGAATTGAAGAGGAGAGAAAGTCATCTCCTTTCTTTCCCTCCCAATTCTTCATTAAGGTACTGAAAAATCAGATTCAGGTCAGTGTTTATGAAGACAGATGTATTTGTGGGCAAATAAAGAGTAGATTAGAATGAGAGATTAATTAGGCTACTACAGTTGTTTAAATAGAATGATGATGGCCTGAGCTGGAGCAATAACAATAAAGCAGAAAGAGTAGATAATTTTTTTTTTTTTTTTTTGAGACATTTTGGAGATAGAATAAATAGGGTTTATTGATTGTATATTATTAGGAGTTTGAGTTTATATGGTCTCAGACATCCAACTGGTGAGTTGCTTAAAAAAGAAAAAAAAAAAAGAACTACCAGGCTTCATTAATAGGATTTTGTCCATAATAAGGGATATAATATTTATTCCATGTTGGTTAGGACACATTTACAATGTTGGCCTTATTTCTGAAAGCTACACTTTAAGAAAAGTAAATGAAAAGATAGATATGTCAGGAGGATAACCCATGAAAACCTTTGAAGGAATTGAAAGTGCTTTCTGTGGAGAAGGAAGACTTTATAGGAATGAGTGAAGGAGGGAAGGGGACAGTTGTTTTCAGGTAATGCAGGGCTGTAATGAGTTGTTCCACAAAGCAGAATTAGATCTGGGATATCACCAGACTTTCTTTTCTGAGAACTAGGGTATTCTCTTAACTGCAGTTACAATGATCAAAATTAGGAATTTAACATTAGTATGTTATCTAATTTACAGTCCACAATCAAATTTTGTCAATTATCTTAATAATTACTTTCAGAGCTTTTTAAAATCAAAGATCATACATTGCATTTTATGTCTCTCCAGTCTCCTTTAATCTGGAACAGTTAGTCAAATTGTTTTTTTAATTTTTTTTTTTTTTTTGAGACTGGATCTCACTGTGTTACCCAGCCTGGAGTGCAGTGGTGTGATCATGGTTCACTGCAGCTTCCACCTCCCAGACCCAGGCAATCTTTTCACATCAGCCTCCCTAATAGCTGGGACCACAGGTGCGTGCTACCATGCCTGGCTAATGTTATGTTTTTTTGTAGAGACAGAGCGTCACTGTATTATCCAGGCTGGTCTCCAACTCCTGAGATCAAGGGATCCTCCTGCCTTGGCCTCCCGAAGTGTTAAGATTACAGGTGTGAGCCACAGCACCTGGCCTCACATTTCTTTATGTATTTATATTTTGAGACAGGGTCTCACTTTGTCACCCAGGCTGGAGTACTACATGAATTTGGCTTACTGTAGCTTTGACCTCCCAGACTCAAGTGATCCTCCTGCTTTAGCCTCCCAAGTAGCTGGGATTATAGGCCTGAGCCACCATGTCCGTCCTAGCCTCAAATTTCTTGACATTTTTTAAGAGATTAGGCGAGGTATTTAGTGTCCCTCAGTTTGAATTTCCAGTGTTTTCTTGTAGTTAGATTCAGGGTGAGTACACTGATACTTTCAATTCCAGCCACTGAAGTGTATGTTCACATTTCCTACCCTTCTGTATTTGTGATATCTTAAGTTTTTTTGCTTCATGTTTAAAAATACCTTGTTGGGTGGGGCACATCGGTTTATACCTGTAATCCCAGCACTTTGGGAGGCCAAGGGAGGAGGATGCCTTGAGCCCAGGAGTTTGAGACCAGTCTGGGCAACATAGCGAGACCTTGTCTCTCCAAAAAAAAAAAAAAAAAAGCCAGGCCGGGCACAGTGGCTCATGCCTGTAATCCCAGCACTTTGAGAGGCTGAGGCAGGTAAATCATGAGGTCAGAAGTTTGAGACCAGCTTAGCCAATATGGTAAAACCCCATCTCTACTAACAATACAAAAATTAGCCGGGCCTGTAGTCCAAGCTACTTGGGAGGCTGAGGCAGAAGAATCACTTGAACCTGGGAGGCAGATGTTGCAGTGAGCCTGGATCGTGCCACTGTACCAGCCTGGGCGACAGAGTGAGACTCTGTCTCAAAAAAAAACAAAAAACAAAAAACCAGGCTTGATGGCTTGTGCCTGTAGTCCTAGCTACTCAGGAGATTTAGGTGGGAGAATTGCTTGAGCCCAAGAGTTCAAGGTTGCAGTGAGCTGTGATCGTGTTACTGCACTCTAGCCTGGGCAACAGAGCAAGACCTAGTCTGGAAAACAAAAAATATTCCTTGTTAGCAATTTGAAACTATAATCAAGAAATGAAAAGGGGGTGTCTTGTGATTTAAGAGACTCCTCTAATTTGGAAAAAGAAAGCAATTTTGAGTGCCCAGTTTATGCCAGATGTTCCATAATCTGATATGGAATGATAATTATTCAAGATTGATGTGCCTTTTTCTTTCATGGAAGAGAAAAGTAGTTAATCTCTCCTCAGAGAGGTTGTAATTTGTTACCAGGTATCTAACTGCAATGCCCTTAATCATTCCTCTGTGACAGGGCAGCTAAGTGTCAGAAAAGCCACTAGGGTATGTCTCCTAGGCTAAATAACTTCTGAGAGCCCTTTTAGTCATTGCATTGGAAATTTACTTGGTTTTTCTGTACCATTGTTTTTGTTTTTGTTTTGGATGGAGTTTTGCTCTTGTTGCCCGGGCTGGAGTGTAATGGCGTGATCTTGGCTCACTGCAGCCTCCGGCTCTTGAGCTAAAGTGATTCTCCTGCCTCAGCCTCCCAAGTAGCGGGGATTACAGGTACCCACCACTCCACCTAGCTAAGTTTTGTATTTTTAATAGAGATGGGGTTTCACCATGTTGGCCAGGATGATCTTGAGCTCCTGACCTCAGGTGATTCGCCCACCTTGGTCTCCCAAAGTGCTGGGATTACAGGAGTGAGCTACCACACCCGGCTCAACTGGTTTTTTAAATTTAAAAATTGATTAAGTATTTTAAAAAAATTCAATGAGATAATCAAATTAGTTAAACTAAATTAGACATTTTTCTTTCATTAGTAATACTAAAACACTTAAAGCTACATTGAGTGATAGCAAATTAGTAAAGCCTATTATAAGTCTTCTATGTAAAGTATGCTTCAGAAGTATATTTTAATGAACTTTCTTGCATAGTCATTTAAAAATGCATTTAGAATTTTTAAAAAATGAAGCTTTATCTTAAAAGCCACCTGACAGTGTCCTTCAAGGATGGAAACATTTATGTTCTATGACCCAATAAGTCTGTTTTAAGGTAATAATCAAATGCAGACACAGAGTGTGCAAGAATGTTAATCACAGCATTTTTAATAATAAATCGTAAAATATCAGAAGCAATGTCCTAACAGAATGGAAATGGTTAAATTAGAAACTATTTATACGGTTTTATATGGCCATTAACAATTTTAGGCTGGGCGGTATGGCTCACGCCTGTAATCCCAACATTTTGGGAGGCCAAGACAGGAGGATCGCTTGAGCCCAGGAGTTGGAGATCAGCCTGGGGTTACCCAGGGAGACCTTGTCTCTACTAAGAAGAAGAAGAAGAAAAAAATTAGCCAGGACATGGTGGTGCGCACACCTGTAGTCCCAGCTACTTGGGAGGCTAAGCTGGGAGGTTCGTTTGAGCCTGGGAGATCAAGGCTCCAGTGAACAGTAATCTCGCCACTGCATTCCAGCCTGGGTGACAGAGTGAGACCCTGTCTCTAAAAAATAAAAAAAATCCCAAACAATTTAGCCCTTAATTATGTGGCTTAAGTGGGGAATAAATGCAGGATGCCGAAAGTGTGTGTTGTATAAATTCTGATTTTAAAAATGCTCGTTGAAATAAGAATGGAAGAGAATACACTAGTATTTGTTTTTGTTTTTTTTTTAAATTTTTTTCATTTATTTTTTTGAGACGAAGTCTTGCTCTGTCGCCCAGGCTGGAGTGCAGTGGCGCAATCTCAGCTCACTGCAACCTCCACCTCCCAGGTTCAAGAGATTCTCCTGCCTCAGCCTCCCAAGTAGCTGGGATTACAGGTGTGCACCACTGAGTCCAGCTAATTTTTGTGTTTTTAGTAGAGACAGGGTTTTGCCATGTTGGCCAGGCTAGTCTTGAACTCCTGATCTCCGGTGATCCACCCACCTTGGCCTCCTAAAGTGCTGGGATTACAGGAGTGAGCCACCGCACCTGGCCCTACACTAGTATGTTAAGTGGTTGTTGAAATGGGGTAAGCTGTATTTGTACTTTTTATTATTGATGTGTCTAAATTATTGTATTTTGTATAATTATCCATTCATTTGAGTTGTTTGATGTACGCATTTCCAAATGAGGTTAAACAAAATGACACTCTGCCTTCTTGTTCTAGCTGTCTTGTCTATTTACTTAGTGTTACATCTTTCCCACTTTTTTTTTAAGAGGTGGTTTTACTGTTTAAAATTGCCCCTAAGTGTAGTGCTAAAGTGCTGTCTATAGTGTTCCTAAGTGCAAGAAGGCTGTGATGAAAAGTTACAGTGCTGTTGACTGTGAGTTCAGTGTTTATGAATCAGCAATATAAAAGTGTTTTTAGGCTGGGCGTGGTGGCTCACGCCTGTAATCCTAGCATTTTGGGAGGCCAAGGTGGGCCGATCACTTGAGGCCAGGAGTTAGAGACCACTCTGGCCAACATAGTGAAACCCCATCTCTACTAAAAACAGAAAAAATTTAGCTGGGCTTGGTGGCACACACCAGTAATCCCAGCTACTCAGGAGGCTGAGGCATGAGAATCGCTTGAACCCGGGAGGCGGAGGTTTCAGTGAGCCGAGATCACGCCACTGCTGCACTCCAGCCTGGGCAGCAAAGTGAGACTCTGTCTCGAAAAGTAATAAATAAGTAAGTAAGTAAGTAAATAAAAGCACAGATAAAACAAAGATATGTGTCATTAGGCTGTTGAAAATGTTTTAATCAGAGGCTAGCAGGAACTTCACTCTGAATTTCTCTCAGTATTGAGTATTTGATAATTCAGTGTTCATGGCAACTTTATGAGAATCAACTATATATGATCTGTTATGGCACTTAGGGTTTTTGAAATATTGAAACTAGCTTGGGAACTCCTTTACCTGGTGTCCTATAGATTTTTAGAGGTGGCAGAGAATCAAGCTTAGAGGTTGGTTAATATGCTGGGAAAAGTTTTTGTGCCCTCTGAAGACAGTACAAATGCAAGAATTTAGAGCAGTGGTGCATATCTGATAAGATTCAAGGTCTCAGTATTTTGATATTCAGACCTTGACATTGATATCAAAAGATATTTCAGGGAGGACTCTGTCCCATGAGAAATGGTAAAATATCCTAACTCATTATGAATCTTTACCTTCATTTGTCTCATTTAGATTATTTTATTTGCTTGTAAGACTTTTCCTAGTCTTACTTGTTCTTGATTGTTGTGTTGACAGAAACTATTGAAAATTTTTAAGACAGATGGAGCATGGCTTTTAGAAAGGATTAAGTAGTCATTTATTAATACCTGTGACTGGCTTAAAAAAAAACTGACATTAAATAACATCCTTAAGGATAAATATTACTAAATTAATGGAAATTTTGACTTTTTTCCTAAATTTAACTAATTGACAAATTTAAAAAATATTTAAAGCAAGCAAAGAAGTAAAATTTTTTTTGTAAGCATTTTCAAAATGCAGTATACAGTTTAGACAGCTATAAGATATAGCTCTGTGAGGAAAACTGTAAGTTGATGAAAGGGAAACATTTGTAAAAATTAAGTATATAGATGGATTTTTACATCAGGCATTTCACCTAGGCCTTGCTGAATTATTTATGCTTCATTTATGAATGTCCATTGAAGATGAATGGCTGTCCAGAGCTGAGATTATGTCTTAATGATAAGTACATAGTACACAGTATGTGCTGAACTAATGTATCTTGAAATGAATCAGTCTTGCTAGTCCAATAATCATTTTCAAGTTAGTCTGTTCCAGGATTTAACAACCTGGTTTGGACCTAAGAATGATATATGGTGCCTTCTCATCTCATTTCTTCTTCTAAGTCATAGATCAACAAAGGGATTTTATGGAACTGAAAAGTCCAGGGTATTTATCTGGGTTCAGGCTGAGTTAAGTCAGAATGTTTAAACAATGTCATACTAGTGCTCTGCTTCTGTAGCTTGACTGCTGACAAATTCAGCTTTATTTTTTGCTACCTGCAAGAAGAGTTTTATCTATCTGCCTTCTCTGTCTGTCTCATTAGCTATTGTCTTAGTCTGTTTGGGCAGCTGTAACAGAAAACCATAGACTGGGTACAAATAAACAACCGTCATTTACTTCTCATGGTTCTGGAGGCTAAGAAGTCCAAGGGCAGACTAAGTGTTGGCAAGGGCCCAGTTCCTGGTTTATAAGTGGCCATCTTTTCACTGTGTCCTCACATGGCTGAGGGGGCTTAAACTTGACTAAACCCAATCAAAGTAAAGGTAATGCTAGAAGAAAATTAATTTTGATCTTAAAAACCCTTTACTTGATCACATTATATAAATATTAACTCTCTTATTGGCTTATGATATGTTATTGTTTGAATGTCCCATCCAAAACTCATGTTGAAACTTAATCCCCAATATGGCACTATTGAGAGATAGGGCCTTTAAAGGTGATTGGATCATGAAGTCTCTGTCCTCATGAATGGATTAATGGATTAATTGGTTAATAGATTAATGGATTATCATGGGAGGGGAACTGGTGGCTTTATAAGAAGAGGAAGAGAGACCTAAGCTAGCACATTAGCATGCTCAGCCTTCTCACCTTGTGATACTCTGTGCTACCTCAGATCTCTTCAGAGAATCCTCCTGAGCAAGAAGGCTCTCACCAGAGGCAACTCCTTGACCTTGGACTTCAGCTTCCGTAACTGTAAGAAATAAATTTCTTGGCTGAGTGTGGTGGCTCATACCTGTAATCCCAGCACTTTGGGGGGCAGAGGTGGGAGGATTGCTCGAGTCCAGGAGTTCAAGACCAGCTTGGGCAACATAGAACTTGTCTCTATTTAAAAAGAAAGAAAGGAAGGAATTTATTTTCCATAAATTACCTAATTTGTGGTATTCTGTTACAAGCATAGAAAAGGGACTAAGCTTGCTTCTTTTAAGTTTTCTAGTGTTGGAGATAAATAGGAAATAAACATAACTGTCCCTTTTGGCATCAGGCCTTATATAGTGCCTTTTGTTTGGTACCCATGCCTCTCCATAGATAGATGGATATCTTTTCCATCTCTACGAACAAAGAGAATGATTTTATAGGAGAGACTGAATGACTTACAAAGAAATATTAAATTCTCACCTCTAATTCTCTGTTAAGTGATATCATTTATTAAACAAGAAACATACCACAGGAAATAGTAATAGATCTGTCAAAATCTCTTCTTCTGATTAGCACTGGGTTTCTCACAAATTTCATACAATTAGGGTACAGTTGTCATTGGTATTTTCAAATTAATCTCTATTTTAGCTTCTTTAAAACTTGAATGTTGACGGCCATTGGAGGAATTGTCTATCATGATCATGTATCATATTCTTCTCAGACAGTACCCCTTTTGGGAAGAAGAGCCTCGATTCTTTTTTTTTTTTTTTATTATATTCTTTAAGTTTCTAGGGTTACATGTGCACACGTGCAAGGTTTTGTCTCATATGTATACATGTTCCATGTTGGGTGTGCGTGCACCCATTAACTCTGCATTTACATTAGGTATATCTCCTAATGCTATCCCTCCCCGCTGCTCCCCACAACAGGATCCGGTGTGTGATGATCCCCTTCCTGTGTCCAAGTGATCTCATTGTTCAATTCCCACCTATGAGTGAGAAACATGCAGTATTTTGGTTTTCTGTTCTTGCCATAGGTTGCTGAGAATGATGGTTTCCAGCTGCATCCAAGTTCCTTACAAAGGACACGAAAACATCCTTTTTTATGGCTGCATTAGTCTATGGGGTATATGTGCCACATTTTCTTAATCCAGTCTGTTACTGATGGACATTTGGGTTGATTCCAAGTCTTTGCTATTGTGAAATAGTGCTGCAATAAACATACGTGTGCATGTGTCTTTATAGCAGCATGACTTATAACCTTTGAGTATATCCAGTAACATGGAATGGGGCTGAGTCAAATGGTATTCTATCTTAGATCCTTGAGGAATCGCCACACTGTTTTCCACAATGGTTGAACTAGTTTACAGTCCCACCAATAGTGTAAAAGTGTTCCTATTTCTCCACACCTCTCCAGCACCTGTTGTTTCCTGATTTTTTAATGATTGCCATTCTAACTGGTATGAGATGGTTAGAAGATCCTCATTCTAAGCGTTTATAGAATTATTACAATGCAGAGAGCCATAGAGTCTTACAGATTGAACTCAATTTAGGCATCGCCTATAATCCCAGCACTTTGGGTGGCCGAGGTAGGTGGATCATGAGGTCAGGAGTTCAAGACCAGCCTGGCCAACATGGTGAAACCCTGTCTCTACTAAAAATACAAAAAATTAACTGGGTGTGGTGGTGCATGTCTGTAATCCCAATTACTTGGGAGGCTGAGACAGGAGAATTGCTTGAAACCGGAAGGCGGAGGTTGCAGTGAGCCAAGATTGTGCCACTGCACTCCAGCCTGGACAACAAGAATGAAATTCCATCTCAAAAATAATAATAAAAAAAAGACTTAGCTTCATATTCTGGCTTTATTAGTTGTGTGATCATAGGCATTTCTTGAGTCTGTTGCCATATACTGTTTAGGAAATGAATATGATGTCTCACCTGTCTACTTTTGAGATTGTGGAAATATAATGAGCAAGTTCTTTGTTATTGTAAAGCACAGTGTCAGTAGAGTGGATAAGACTTTGTATTCTGCCACTTAACTAGCTTTGCAGTACTGGAAATTTTTTTTTTGAGATAGGGTCTCAGTCTGTCACCCGTCCTGGAGTGCAGTGCTATGATCTCAGTTCACTGCAGCCTCAACCTGCTGGGCTCAAGATGAATCCTCGCACCTCGCCCCCTGAGTGGCTGGGCCCACAGGCAGCTGTCATCACATCACACCTGGCTAATTTTTGAAATTTTTTTGTGGAGATGGGATTTCGCCATGTTGCCTAGGCGGTCTCGAACTTCTGGGCCGAAGTGATCTGCCCGCCTTGGCCTCCTGTATTTAATATTCTTAAGCCTCTGTTTTGTCATCTGTTAAATAGGGATAATATTAGTACCTGCTTCCATAAGTTTTTGAGAGTTTTAAATAAGATTTTATATATATATATATATATATAAAATATAGTATGTGGTATATTGCACATAATAAATGCAGGCAATCATTATTTCATTTGTTGATTTTTGTACTATGTGCCAGGGCTACTCTACATGATTTATTTCAGTTAATTCTTAGGACAATTCTGTTTGGTAGGAATGCTTCCCCGCCCCCTGCCAATTTAACAAGTAAGAAATGGTTGTTAGGTCACAGCAAGTAAGTGGTTAGTTGGGAGTGGAACAGACAAATACTACATAATTAGGTTTTGGTCAATGACAGATCTCATATACCATGGTGGGGCCCATGAGATTATAACAAAGCTGAAAAATTCCCATTGCCTAGTGATGTGGTAGCTGTTATACAGTTGTACTGTAATGTTGTACTCATGTGTTTGTGGTGATGCTGGTGCAAAGTAAACTGCACTACAGTATGGCACATACAATTATGTATAGTATACAATTATGTATAGTACATTGCAACCTTGACCTCCTGGCCTCAAGTGATCCTCCCACTTCAGCCTGCCCAGTAGCTGGGACTACAGGTGTGCACCACCACACCCAGCTAATTTTTGCATCTTTTGTAGAGGTGGGGTTTTGCCATGTTGCCTAGGCTGTTCTCAAACTCCTGGGCTCAAGTGATCCACCTGCCTCTGCCTCCTGAAATGTTGGGATTAAGGCATGAGCCTTTGTACCCGGCTTTGATCACATTTATTATTGTACTCTTGTTCCTCTCCCATTATACACTGAGTTCACATTCACACAGCAGCCAGAATAATCTTTTAAAAATGTATGTTAGATTATGTGTCATTTTCTTCATTTACTTCAATAGAATAAAGAATCCAAATAAAACTTAAAAAGAAACATGAAACAAATACTGATCAAGGCCGAGCTCAGTGGCTCACGCCTATAATCCCAACACTTTGGGGAGCCGAGGCAGGCAGATCGTCCTCTGAGGTCAGGAGTTTGAGACCAGCCTGGCCAGCATGGTGAAACCCCATCTCTACTAAAAATACAAAATTATCCAGGCATGGTGGCGCATGCCTGTAATCCCAGCTACTCAGGAGGCTGAGGCAGAAGAATCGCTTGAACCTGGGAGGCGGAGGTTGCAGTGAGCCGAGATCGCGCCATTGCACTCCAGCCTGGGCGACAGAGGGAGACTCCATCTCAAAACAAACAAACCCATCAAATTTCTGCTATAGCTTAGAGAGCCCTTTATGGTCTGGCATCTGTCTACTTGAAAGCTCATTTTATGATACTTTTTCCCTTTGCCTGTTAAGTTTCAGCCTCATTGGCCTTGTTCCAGTTTTGCCCATTTCAATTTCAAGGCCTGTACAGCTACTATTCCCCTTCAGACTTTTTAAAATAACCTTACTGATTTATTCTCCATACTTAGTTTGAATAATGTCCAAATAATAATGTTTAATGAATGTTTTCTAGGCACAAAGAAAATGAAAAATAAGATAGGCTTTGCTACAAAACAGTTTTAATGGATGAAACAGACAAGTGAATAGATTAGTGTAGTAAATAGTAATCTTGAAATTCCTAGTGGGGGAATAGTTTGAGGGAGGGTAAGCAAGCTTACTGTCTTATAGTCACTTTAGCCTTGCTTTTAACTAGAGTAGCTTTACTTTCTCTTTTTCCAGGACATAATTTATTTAAGGATTGTTACCTTTAAAAAGTTTAAAAAACACTTTTTAAAGGCAAGTGGTATGGTAAGAGCTATGAACAGGGTTCCCTGGGGACACAGGTTCTTGGAGTAGGTGGGTGCATCTGATTTGTGACTTAAAGAACAAGGTAAATGGTAGGTGAGCAAGGAAGGGCAAGATGTTTGGGGCAGAGGTAATCGTTTTTGGCTGTTCATCATATCTTTGGAACTTTTAAATAATACATACCTCTACATTTTGTGATAGTTCATCAAGCTATAGGTTTGTTATTTTGCACTTCTCTTTACGTATACTGTCTTTCAGCAGAAAAGTTAAAAGTAATAAAAATTTTTAAAAAGACAAAAAATGGCCAGGCACAATGGCTCATGCCTGTAATCCCAGCCGTTGGGGAGGCCAAGGCAGATAGATCACCTGAGGTCAGGAGTTTGAGACCAGCCTGGTCAACATGGTAAAACCCCATCTCTACTAAAAATACAAAACTCAGCTGGGTGTGGTGGTGGGCACCTGTAGTCCCAGCTACTTGGGAGGCTGAGGCAGGAGAATTGCTTGAAGCCAGGAGGTGGAGGTTGCAGTCAGCCGAGATTGTGCAACTGCACTCCAGCCTGGGTGACAGAGCGAGACTTCGTTTCAATTCAAAAAAAGACAAAAAATAAAATAAATCACAGCTGGACTGATTCCAGACCTGTGGAACGAGAAACTCCTGTTTTCTTTTTTCTTAAATGTCATAGGTGATTCTGATACTTTGCTGTGATTGAAAACCTCTGTGATATGAGATTGAAATTTAGATCTGGTTAGCTGCTGGGGAAGATTTAGAGTAGAATTAGAGATGGAAAGGCCAGGTACAATTTGTATCTCCATTAAGATGCTTAGATTTTAACTTGTATCTTTGAAAGTGTTTTGTTTCTTGGATTTATTTTGAAATAACTTTATTGAGGAATACCTGGCTGTAAATGTTTAAAGTATATAATTTGTTATAAGT